AGCGCCTTGATGAGTATAGTTGATTGGTGTGCTGGAAATAACATGAATATCTCTGGAATAGGTGGTGCCGCCGGAATTTGGGTGATGGTATTTTGGAAATGATATGGAGGTTCATTCGTTTGGCAATGGTTTCAATTTCAATAAGGCCTAATAGCACAAAACATCCCTACGTTTGACACTTCTTGCGAAAAAGGTCCCTAAGTTTCATTTTTTTTGTGTTTTCATCCATATTTTCACGTTTCATTGCGAAAAACGTCATTTTCACCAACTTGAAACATAGGGACGTTTTAAGTTATTAGGCCATTTAATAATTATTTGGACTCACTTGTACTTTGTAAAACGTTTAGGAGTAAGATTGTAATTTATTTTTTATTTTTGGTTTTATTTAAATGAGAGTGTATTTTGGCCATTTTACGTTAAAATTTGGTGAAAGGGACGTTCAACGCAAAGAAATGTGAAAGTTAAGGGCAAAAATGTCAAAAAATGAAAGATAGAGATGTTTTTCACAATAAACTTAAAAGATATTGACGTTTTGTGCGAATTGGTGTGTAAGGTCATCAGACCTTTCATATTTTTAGTCACATCCTACAAGTTGGCATATGGACACAGAAAATGTTCAGTTAAAAAATGAGTCTTAAACTAACTCGTTGATTTAAATGAAGAATTTTGTACAGTTCATGAACAAATTAAAAATTCAATGGCTATAAGTTAAATTAATGAACCATCATGCTACATATACAATTATAGTCGACGATCATAACTTGACAAAATCTATAACATTCATTTAAAAAAAAAAATTTAAATCAACCAAAATAGATCTCGACAATATATGGACCGTCAACAATCATTGTACAAATATTTTTATCCTAAATTAACCATTTAAAAATGGATTGATATTGAAATTTCTATTTTTATTTTTTAAGGATGGGCCAACATGTAATAATGAACTAATTTGTCCCAACTGCCCAATGCCTAGTTTAGCGCATAAGGCACTGCACTTTCTTTATTTTGAAATTTAGGGCCTTTTTCCTTTCACTGGATCAGCAGTTTTTACCCTATTTAATAATGTTTTTCAACTGAATTTGCTGTAAAATGACGATCGCCTATTGCATGTTTGACCAGAAAGTATTGCTCATCAATGGCTTAGCATGTGCAGATGCAACTTAGAATTACACGCACCAAGTTGTTCAATAGAAGCATGACGGTAGAATACCCATTTTCATCGTGCACAGGTGGCACATGGCTCTTCTTTGATGTCCAAGTAATAACTATTATGGTCACTACAGAAATCGATTGCCAATCCAATTTGAGTACATCTATCAGAGCTTTTCTTAATGAATAATGTTATTCATGATGATGACTACGTATAATTTTCCTACGAGACATACATATAGCAATTTGTTATTGACGACTATCAAGAGTGCTCACTATAATTAGCATTACTCATTCTTAATTAGTGATGGTAAAAAAACCCGTCTCGCCTGAACTGGTTGGCAAAGCCTTTTTCGCAAGAAGTGTCAAACGTAGGTCTTATTGTGTGATTTGACAATAATTTCAATTTTAATAAGGTGTAATGGTACAAAACATCCCTACGTTTCACAGTTCTTGCAAAAAATGTCTCCACCTTTGACACTTCTTGAGAAAAACGTCTATACGATTCAATTAATCTTTACATTTTTCACGTTTCATTGAGAAAAACGTCATTTTCATCAATTTGAAATGTAATGACGTTTTGCACACTACAGGTCAAACGTAAGGACGTTTTGTGCTATTAAGATTTTTAATAATTATTTGGACTCACTTGCACTTTTTTAAACATTTAGGAGTAAGATTGCAATTTATTCTTTATTTTTCCTTTTTTTTTTTTGGATTTAGTTAAATATGAGAGTATTTTGGTCATTTTACATTTAAAAATGGTGAAAATAACGTTTTTTGTAATGAAACGTTGAAATAAGGACAAAAATGCAAAAAAAGAAATATCGGGACATTTTCCGCTATAAGTATCAAATGAGGGACGTTTTGTGCTATTAATCCTATAAAATAAAGCCAGGTTCAGTGACGATGCAATATTCCAGAAGGGTATCATAGCAATTAAACCAAATCATCCAATTCATTAGAAGCAACAAGGACATCAGCAACAATTCCTAAGGATGCCACTTGCATACACAAATGATCCTCTAGTTTTCTAAATATTTATTATGAATATAGCAGCACATACCATGCTTAGCATTCTACTTAGGTAATCCCTCCTCAATTTCGCTCCACGTATTAGCATTCCTCGAGAACTTCTCCTTCACTTGTCCAATAATTTCCCTCGCCTCATCAACCTTCGAAATGCTCACCAGACCATCTACGAGCAACTTCATGGTAGTAATATTAGGGACCCAACCCTTTGCCATACATTCCTTACAGATGTCCAAGGCAGCCTCGAATTCTCCTCCTCTACACAAGTAATAAACCAGTGTAAAATAACATTCAGCGTCTGGCTTCAAACCCCGACTTTCCATCACCTTAAACAAACTCTTTGCCTCCTCCAAATTGCCTTCTCTGCTAAACCCATAAATCAAATGACTATATGTTACAGAATTTGGCTTCATACCGCTCAACAAAATCCCATCCAATAACGCCTTTGCCTCATACGACCTCTTGAGCTTACACAAGCTATGAATCCTAACATTATAAATACTGATCCCAGGTGCCACGCCATTCTTTTTCATCAACTCCATTACTTTCCCAACATCACTAAACTTCTCCTCCTTGTAAAACCCTGTAATCACAGTTGCATAAGTGGTCCCATTCGGCTTTATCCTTTTCCTATCCATTTCAGCCAATATAGAGTAAGCTGAATTCGCACTACCAGACTCACAGAACCCCTTCAAAACCGTATTATACGTGTCCAAATCCGGTTCAATCCCATATTTCCTTGGAAATTCCGAGAAAATCCTCTTCATTTCCCCGTAATCCTTCGCCAAAATGCAAGAAAACAAAAGCGAGTTCAATGTCTTCACAGTTCTCTCAATCCCCATCTTAGGCATTTCGTCGAACAACTTAATAGCATCATTCACTAGACCAGCCTGGCCATACAAAACAACAAAATGAGAAATAAACCGTTCAGATCTCAAATCTAATCGAGTAATGGACTCATTTATGAACCCTCTTATGCCCTCATAATATTGAGATTCTTTCAGCTTCGTGATGGCTTTGGAGTACGCGATCCGATCTAAATGTGACTCAGGCGTTAGGGCTGCGGCTCTGCAGATTTCAAGAATGCGTTCCGGGTTCTTCTCGAACCGGAGGAGGGAAAGCGCGGCTCGTGATTTCTCTTTACTGGTGAGTGGGGTTTTGGAATCGGGATTCAGAATTGAGCTGGAGAAGAGCCGGTGGTGCTGAAGTACGAGTTGACGGAGTTTACCGCGAAACGCCATTGAATTATCACTGAGGATTTCCAAATTCTGGTCTTTTTGTTGGTTAACAGAGGTTTTAGGGTTTGAGATTTGGGTATTTAGGGTTTAGATGAATAGAGTACTGTGGATATGCTAAAATTTCATGAATACCCCCAATTTATCAGCGTTGCTCGAGTGGGTGCTTTACTACTTTTAACAAATATGTCCTCAGCCTTTTAAATTGTAGCACTTTAAGCTTTATTACCAATTTTAAGTAATTTTCGCATGTTTTGCTATTTGAGATTTGTATGCATATTTCAAAGAAAAAAACCACATGCCAACTTGTCCGTCCGTAAACCACATGTTAGCTTGCCAGAATCCCGTGACCCTCTTTTTAGCTCCTATATTTATTTTCTATTTATCATCAGTCCTCTATAATTTCGAATGCACCTGTCACTAATATCTCTCACCAGTCTTATTCCCTCTATTCCCAGTGTCTCCATAGTCCTCCACGACCACAAGTTTCTAAACTTAAATGGATTGGTGCATGGAAGATGGGGATTACATTCATTGCAAATGATTGTAGGGATGGAATTTCCTCTTTCTTTATCATTTTTTTTTTCCAGAAAATAGAAGATCGTGTAAAGGGGTGTTTGATAGTTATTTTTATGTAAAAATACATTTTAAAATAATAAATTGATGTGAAATGTGTGGTTGAAAAAATTAGGAATTTTTTTTTAATTTACGTGTAATATTATTTTAATAAATAATGTGTGTTGAAAAGAAGAGAGAAAAAATGCATTTTGAAAAAAATTGCCACCAAACAGGGCCTAAATATGAAATCTAGTACGTCCAATTTTCACGTCCACCATGTAAAATTGATTTTTATAACATTGGGCATGTCAATTTCAAATACAAACTTGACATAGCTTGTTTACTTCATTATTTAAAAATTTGGGTCAAAATTTAGGCACAAAGTTGGCAACAATGTGGTGTGGACTGCCTCTTTTCTTTCGCTTA